TACATGTGAATTTATATCGAAGTATTTTAGGGACTATTTGTACATGTGTAACCATTACATAATAAGTTTTACGTCATGGTCACAAGCGAAGCATAGGCACAATTTAATGCACAAACAATTGTTACTGGGTTTTTTGAAAGTGGTCTGAGATTTCGGTCATTATCTGCTTTGAATGTATATGTCACTCAAATATGAACGGAACGGGGACGTGTCATTGACAATGACTTGTTAGTGAATATTTTGTCATTTTTGGTAAAAAGTGATATTTTCGACTTCTTCTTAAAAACCACAATTCTGATTGCTTTTATATTACATATATAGATACTACATGTAGACCTCTCTCAGATTTGTTCATTTTTTGATGATATCTTTAATTCTCCAATTTTAGTGAATATTTTTGTATTTTGTGGTAAAAAGTGATATTTTCGACTTCTTTTAAAAAGCGCAAGTCCTATTGCTTTGATATTATACATATAGGTACTACATGTGGGCCTCTCCCAGATTTGTTCATTTCATGATGATTTCTCCAATTTAGGTGAATGTTTTTGTCATTTTGGGTGAAAAGTGATATTTTCATATTCTTGTTGAAAACAGCAAGTCCGATTGCTTTGGTACTATACATATTGTTCATTTTCTAATGATATCTTCAAATGTGCATTGCTAACAGCGGAGGCATCTCAGCCAACAGGCTGCTTGTTTATAAAGCTAACCAATGGAGGACACGGCAGAATTGATTATTGTTGGTGTTCGATATAAGCTGTAAAAATACAAGATAATTCTAAATTTGTATTCATACGTGTGTGTATGTAATTGTAAACGTTCCATTTATTTCCAGGATAAGAACACCTTACTTGTTAGTTGCGAAAACGGTGTTGTGGTGGAAATAGAAGCCCCAGAACCTGGTTCGTATGACACATCCAAAACATACCAGATTACAGGATTGGCCATGAGAACATACACATTCAAAAGTATCAAATCTAGACTCAGGGTAAGTGAAAAGATGGATGCGTGCCATAATTGTGTTAATTCACATTTTATATATTATTCACTGTAGAAATTATAAAATTTAAAAAACTGAATAAAAATTTGCAATATAATTATAGAGAGAAGAGGAGGAAGCTCGGAAAGCAGCCGAGGAGGAATTACGTAAAAAGGAAGAAGAAAAGCAGCGAAGAATAAGACGTGAAAGAGGAATAGAATCGGATGATGAGGATAATGATGACGATAACAAAGGTAAAGTTGGCAAATATCAATAATTGAAATATTTGGCTCAATCAGTTGATGCCAGCTGAAGGAAGATGTATTGAACAAAATCTGGGTTTATAAATAAAACATTCATCGCTCAACAACATGTTGATAACATGCACATGCTTATCGAGCCAAGCATCCATCTAAAAACATGCTGCTAGCAAAAATGCCCTCATGACTACATCGTTTGTTAGCAGCTTAAAAATCACTGTATGTTAGGAAAGATGACTAAATTTTGTTGCAGCTGCTGGGATGTTCATCTGTTGTGGCTGTTCCAAACTTGAGATATGCATGAAAACTGAAAAACAAAATAGTTTTATTTTATTTTTTAAATTTATTTTTATTTTCTTCTCTAACCACTGATGACTGAACTTATTATTTGTTGCATGCGTTTGTTGTTTTACTAACTTTCTAGTGTTTTTTTTTTTATTTTTCATGTTATTTTTATACTGTTTTGCGTTCTCTACGCTGCTGTGATACATATGTGCTTACAGGATATGATGAAAAGAAAGGTACTTGATGTGTGTTCATTTAATTAAAACAAAATAATTTGTATAAATATAAAACCTTAGTAGAAGTAAACTTTAAAAATGAAATTAATAAGGTCAAAAAAAATAATTGCTTCTCATCATCACGCAGTTTGAAATCTTCTATGCGCATTTTTTTTTTTCAATTATGTCCACTGGTAAAATGCGCTACATGTGGTAGGATGGGGAGATGTATGTTATCTGTTTTAGAAGAATCAGCCTATGATATACATCTTGCTGTTGTATTGAATTAAAAAAAAATTCATAAATTTGTTTGGGAAGGAGAAGTTATTTTTTTTTTTGGCCTGATATATAAAAAAGTGGTTAAGGTACAATGTACACCGTATAGTTTACTAATACTTTTTAAAGGAATGGTTTTATTTTTATCAAAGGAATCACGTATCCGTGTAGAGTTTTTCATTTTTAACTCACTTTTTAATAATTGCCTTTTTTGCCTCAGTCTCCACATTTATAACAAATTTTTAAATTAAAAAAAGATTGAAGAAATATTACAGCATGGTGCAGGTATTTCATGTCTTCTTCCCTGGCAATATCTCTTGGTAAGGTGTTCCTAACTATTAATATTCCAGTCAGTAAAATACAAATTTAAATAAATTTTATTGTATAAATAATAACAAAAATAACTTTAAATTAACAGTATCCGAATCTCCAAACTGCACATTTATTAAAGTCATCTTTATATAATTGTTATTTTCTTTTAATATAACTTTTATTTTGTTATCTTTTCTCTTTGTTAAAAGTTGTTTAATATCTTCCCTTATTATTTATTATTCAAAATGTGTGCATATAAAATAAGATAATGTTGCCTACCGTTTATGACACGAATTTGATCTTTACGCTGTATCTGATTTAATATAAAGCCAACCTTTGCCAATGAATGCCAAGTTCAACTTTTGTCAAAAGCTGCAAAAAATGATATATCTTTAGCAAAGAAATTTAGCAAAAATGTGCAAAATAGAGCACCAAAATTTTAGCAGAAAACAAAATGATGTCCAAAAGGTTATATGTATTGCAGCTACATTTTTACTGCCATAAAATTTGATGATATTTTGATTGATGCATGACTAAATTTCATGAAAATCACTAAAAACCTAAAAATAATTTCACGATTTTCCTTGAATTGCAAAACTTGTCTCATAAGGTTAAAGCAGTGTCTAGCAGTTCTGGTGGTACACACATACGCAAATAGATTGGTAACCAGGCAAATAGATAAAGATAAGATAAAAAATAATTTATTCCAACTGTTTAATTTGGTTATATCTAAAGTAAAAATAATAAAAATACAATATAAGCTTTAACAATACTAGCGGGTTAGGCTTCCGTCTCCAGGGTCTGATTTACTGCTAAGACTGTACTTCCATGGTCAATGGATGATTGTGATTGGCTGATAAATATAGCAACTGCTAAATTGAATATGCTAATTTCCCAAACAATGGATGACAGTTGTATATTTCTTCCCACTTGTTGTTATAAATCGCCACTATCAGAATTGGAGGTTTTTATGACATCATAGCTTTACATCACAACATGATAATTTATTGATTTATTCCTAAGTACATGTAAATTCAATTCAACAAAAAGTACCTAAAATTTAACTAAATTTGTTTAATTCTGATGGTGGTGATTTATTGGATATTATTGGATTCGAAGAAGCTTCGGCTTTGGCCCACACATTGTCTAGCCACAGACCGTTCTCCTGAATCAATATGGCACTGTAGGCAATTCGTTATTGTTTAAATCATTGTCGCAACTCTAAAAATGTGATTGTTTTGTTTTTCATCATGTTGCAAATAAATTCACATAATTATATACTATAACAGAAATCTTTTAGACTACCTGGGTATTTTGGAGAGGGTGCCTAACCTGCGGAATGTTGTCTGGTTTCCAGGCTAAAGCGTGAAACTTATTATAGTAAATTATATGAAACACAAGTTATTGTAAACTTTCTGTCTTTTATTTTTAGTGATTTATTATTTTTATTCTCTTTCCATTTCTCTTTTATGTATTACTCCCTTCTTTTCTGCTGTTCTTTAGTCTTGGAACTTCTCGGATTAACACCATCAGAGTCCGAATCTGACAAGCCTCTTAAGCAGACTATTAACACTGACGTCGATGGCAGTACGCTTTATTCTTTTGGTTTTGTAGTTGATTTTTATCTTTATTAATTGCTCATTTGTATTTACACACATTTTAGCACGTAAGGAAATCCACCTATGTGTAATTGATGTAGATTTCCTTGTTTTCCCTTGACAAATAGTTCCTGTCATGCAGCATGTCCCACCTGCATTGATCACTAAACAAAGCTTTGTGCTAAGTGTTCTGCAATGCCAGATTCTCAAATTTGAAATTATTATTTTTTTCTTATTTGTTTATAATTAGGCTTGATGTCTGCATGCTTGTTCCACCATGCATCTAGCTTGAATAGCGGAACAATGTCTGCCCACAGTCTGGTGCTTGGATAACCTATATATGTTGCTTTTGCTACGCATGTTCAGAAATCCACATATCTGAAAATTTAATTTAAAGAATATAATAATAGTACATGAGTTGGAATCACCATTCCTTGTGCATAAATATAACTTGCGCAATGCTGCCACTTTCATTGTACATTAGTTTTATAACTCTGCACAAAGCTTTGTTATTGTTCTGCTGTGCATTAATGCTGCTACATGTACATCGTAGCTTCTAACACTAAACATTCTTGCACTATTTTTCATCGTGTAACCGCCATATTTAACTTTCATATCAGTATACCCAATATATATAGCTTGTGAAATGTTAAATAAGGCCATGTCAACAAAACATCTAAACAACCAAATCTTATTTTAAAAGTATACTAGTAGTGTGTAGATTACACTATGGCTAGAAACTCCCAAGCTATGGCAGTTGTATTGTACCGCTCAGCTATCAAATCCATCACAATTAGACAATCAATTTTCCACCCACTTAATTAATCCCACCAGGATTCAATGCTGTTTCGTGGTTATTGTAGTGAGGCTTGTGCGTTACTAAATACGTCATGTTACTTTTATTTATTAAGTGTTAGTGAATGAAATTCAAACACATAATCAAATAGGAAGCCAGAATGAATGCCAATAGTTAGATGCGCTGTAAGACATTGAAATTTGAATGTTTATTACTGGTACATATATCCCACAAATCGTACGACTCCAATCCATACATGAATAATATCAGAGTTCTGAGAAACAATACAGTTCATACTTGACATCACGTTACACACGTTGATTCAGTCAGTTTATTAGGTACAGTATATTATCCCTATGCGATGGTTTCACACTTCAGTAGATGAGCTATAAATTACCCATTTGCAACTGAACAGAGCACGACAGACAGGAAAGGGAACCCTCACAAAAAAAAATCTATATGTTATCCATTGAAAAAAATCTGTAAGAATTCTATATTACCTACAATGAAATCTACATGCACCCTTCAATATTAGAATATATGTAACACAGTGAAAGAACCACTCATCAATTTATTCATCTCTGTACCCAATTTCACATCCTTCATATTACTAACCAACAAACCTGTTCACCGTTTGTGCTCATATCGAAATGATCCAGATACAGTGATTGTATAATGTTCTATTGTTACTGTGTTTTAATTCTCAGATTAAAAGGTCCCCAAAAGGTCAAACATCTTTTTACTTTCTGGGGGTACAGATTGACTATCATTGTGATGTCCCCAATTATTTTTCCTCAAAAATGCACTCATTTCTGAAACAATTTAACACAACAAAATTTGAGTTGCAATATTTGAAATTATTTCTGTTACATGTTAACAATACCCCCAGAAAGTACCAGGATGTGTGACCTTTAGGGGTCATGCAATATGGAAAATTCATGTTCAAGATCAAGAACATTAATAACATTCGTAAGATTGTCAAATTGTCTCAGATTTATGATACAAATGATACCCCAATGAAACAAATCACAATTGTCATCCAACACCAATTGTGTATTCTTGTTCGCATCCATAGATGTTAAAAAAAAAAAAACTTACTACGAAGAAATTGTGGAAAAAAGTAGTAGTAAGTAAACTTTTGGTAACATTTGTAAAAATGAAAACAGTTTAAATGAACATAGATTTGTAATGTTTCTTACAGAAGAAGAAGAACCTGAGCCAGAGCCACTGTTTATACCAGAAGACCCAAGTCCCATTCATTATGTGTGCTATAGTACAAAACCAGACCACTTCTGGCTTTCAGTGGTGAGTAGGACACAATTCATAATAAAAGTTGTGATGATGTGCAGTGAATAACTGTGTAAATTCAAATAAGTGAGATAAACATATTTACTTGTATATTACCATGTGATGCCACTTTTTAGAAAATCTGATAAATGATTTATCAATAAAAACATTTGGGGTATTTTGTAGACTGTGGACTGTTACCAGATCATTGCAACACATTTTGGAATGACTGACCATTTGATTACTACTTCTTTTATCAACGACAGATTAGTTTCTGTTTTTTCATCATTAACAAAATAATATATGTTAAATGTTTCAGATTTTTTCCAAAATTTGGATCAAGACCAATGATCAAAATTTAAAAAAAATACTTAAAATCAGGCAAAACGCTGCACCAAGATTTTTTTTATTCAAATTTTTGTCCTTACACAAAAGGAATGCTTACTCTCTTTTAAACATTTAATGCTCTGCATTGTATTGGTATGCTTTGTTGTGAGTTTTAACTATAAATTGCTATAGATTTCCACTGTTGAGAGATTTTTGCGATTCAATATTGTATAAATATTATGCATGACCCCTAAAAGATCACACATCCTGGTAATATGTGAATTTCTCAATCAGTTTCCACCCAAAATGCAGGCAGTTGTGACCAAAGTTTAAAAGCCGTTAAACCTTTCAAAATTTGTCATGCACGTATAATATTCCAAAATGGTTACAGTTATAGGGCTGTACCCCCAGAAAGTACCAGGATGTATGACCTTTGTGGGGTCATACACACATCCATTTCAGGCAAAATACCCGTCTTGATACCTGCCGCAGCCAGTCTTTGTGTTGTGTCATGATTATTATGGGTTCCATGTGAAATATACATACATAATATAAATAAACCATGTGTATGCAATTGGAATGCTTGCCATGCTACAAAGTTTGGTACTTTGCTTTGATTTGCAAAATGTATTCATAAGTAGTTTTACTTCTAAATACTTATAATACTGATTGACTAAAATGAAATGACAAACCTGTATATATATTGTTGTGTCTCTACACAGGGAGGCTACGATGCTGGTTACCTCTATGAGTGCGGGTTTGTTACGGAAGCCGAACGGGAGGCCAGAATAAAAGCGGGACAGGAAGATAGAATCGGAGATGCCAAGACAGCTATTCCCATGTTTGGTACAAATGATGTACCAATTAGATGTATCTATTACTCGTAAGTTGAAAAAAAGCACGCAATGTTTGGTATTACTACTTGCTCTGAGGCCCAATATGTGGTTCCAGTAACCTTACCTCACCTAAACCTTTTTTGGGCTGAACATGAAAATATGAATTTTAACTGGAAACTGTAATTTTCCTGAAAAGACATTTTGGCTTTTGTATGAAGTTTAATTGTCACTGATTTTTGATTACTGTAAAATGACTAATTTTCACTGGGTTTAAATTTCGCTAATTTACCATTTCAGGAATATTTAGTGGGTTTTAAATTCTTGGTTTTGTCATTTAGATGATGTGTTCTATGCTAAATTTTAAATATTTACTGGGTTTTAATTTAGCGCATTTTCCTGTCAGCGAAATAAGCAAAATTAAAACCCGGCGAGTAATTAATCTTTTTACAGTAGTTGAATGTAAAATGTAGAAAAAAAGGTATTTTCACTGGAATTTATTTTCACTGATTCTTTCCTTCGACACAAATAAATTCCAAATACGAAAAAAGTACCGGTAATTCACAGCAATCACACATTCTCAGAAGACTGTATTTGCTCTATTAGTGCATTTATATATGTTATTCGTGGGGGCAGAACTATGTCACAGGACATGTATTCCAACTACATGCATGCATTCCAACTACATGTATTTAAAATGCTTCAGCACCTAACTAAACTGCAGTGTTTATAATGTTTTTACTATTCCACCTCAGTCCCGGTCGTGATCAAGTTCTCATGGGTATGGAAGACGGTTCTATTCGAATCCAAATGCTGGAAGAAGACGCTGAAAAGAAACAATTGGATATAAATAAGCTCTCACAGTACTGGTCATTGAATATGCATGACAATAACTACGGTCCATTGACCGGCATATCAAGCAGTTACGATAACCAGTTTGTGTTGTCTGTCGCCGCTGACGGCAACATCTTTGTATATGATCTGATGAGTGAGGAGAAGATTGAGGAAGCCAAGAAAATATTCCGGGCGAAGATTCCATCAGCTAGGGTAAGTGATCATCTGTGACTAGACCACCCTGAAGGCTAAAGGTTATCGTACACACACATCATTTTGCACACATGTCTAGTGGCTGGTTGGTAAGATGCAGTCTTTAGCACCTAAAGATAAAATAATGGCGTTCTTTGCTGGCATTATTGAATATACGTGCATGTGTCCTAACTTATGGGCAAAGTTGTCACATCAGATTGCGAGTTAGCGTTGATCAGCGAGTGACATTTGTTTTCAGATATTCACTTGATGGTTGGCAAAAAAGTAAACAAATGATATCACAGTGCTATGGCCAATAGTTATGTTGTGGTTCATGTTAAAAAGACTGGTTATGAAGTGTTATTTTGATTTCAAATTGCCACAGTGTAATTGATTTGTACCACTATGTGTCTGTTTTCATTTGATTTAGTCGAGAAATTTTATTTTTACTTTATAATGAACAAGTGTCATTTTTGAGGAAAATGGCCCAGAAATCAAGCAAAAAACACATGAGAAATTCAATGCTTGAACAATACTTGCGCAAATTGATTGATACAAATTTACAAGCAGGTTTCTAAAACCAACAACATGGGTCTATAAAGTACCTGTAAATACAACTTCAGATCAGTTGGTGGCACACTTTACATTTTACAGACGAGACACATCACGTTCACATTGATGTCAACATGTGTTAAATTGTTTTATACATGACGATGGTGTTATTTAAATCAACTGACTGATTGCCAGTCCCAGCATGCATCAAAATATGATACAGTATCTGTTTAATTCTGTACAACTTAATAATACAATGGTATGTTGAAATTCTAGAAAGGACTTGAAGATGAGAGAAAAGTAGAAGACATCGAACAGAAGGGATTTTATAGCATTGAGATGGAGAAACAGAAAGCAGAACATGATAAAATGATGAAGGAGGCAGACGAAAAGAAACTGACTGTGAGACGAACCATTGCTCAGCTGAGGAGACAGTTTAAGAAATTATTAGAGAAGAATAAAGAGTTACCTGACCATCTTCAGCTGGAGAGGAAGGTATGAATATCCTAGCCAAATAGACCATTTTTCGTTTATTGCACGATTCTATGTTATGTGTGAAATGATAAAACAGGACAAGCAAAGGTCATAGCGTCTCAGAGGCGTCAAAACATTGCATGGAATTCATCAAATGTGATGAAAGTATTTATCAGGTATTTCTGCACCAAATATTGTGCTTTACACATTTGATGATGGTCAATTCTGATGAAATAACGGTATCTCAACTTCATATTCCCCCTGAGAGATTGGCATTTCGACATTGAGCTATAAGAAAAGAAATTCAAAATCTTTTTTTTTTTTCATCAGTTTCTGTATTTTTCACAAAATGTGTGAGATCCTGCAGTGAAACTCATCTATTATTGAAGAGTGTATCTCTGATTGCCAAATTTCGCTAACAGGCTTATAATTCACAATGCTGAGAAAATTTAAGGCTTTAATTTTATTCACTTGTTTAACTTTGAAGGAGTTTGAAATGGATCCTGAAATCAAGACGAGAGCTGGAAAAACACAAGCAAGACAAGATCGAATTGGTACACAGAGAACTGGCTTGGGAATCTGAAAAGCTACAAATAGCGTTAGATAAACTGAAAAACAGGTAAGATGAGTCAAAATCACAATATTGGGAGATATATGTTCTCCCGGAATCCTGGATGTGGCCCAAATCATAAACAAACTTTTATTTCTTGGTCATACACAACGTTTTTCATAAATAAAATTAATACAATAGTTACTATGTTTCACTAGACATGGTTCATTTATTCCAGCACATACTCTCAATACTGGACCTTGGCAAGCTCTGCCGTGTTTCTGTGTATTACCCGTACAGTTAATACTTAGTGTGTACATTGCTGTCTGAACTATTGATGACAGAGCTTAAAATCTATGACCCATCACTGACTCACTGATGTCTATATTTAATTGTTACACCTGTTCTGATTGGTCCATTCACAAGCAAATTACATGACCATTGTACAATATGTATTCATTTCAGATTTCGTGATGAGCTAGAAACCGACCGTATTGTCATCTTTTCCATCAAGACTCCCCATAAAGTTGCTTCTTTCCGTGCTGCTGGATTGTCTGAGGAGTTCTTCAAACTAAAATGTCAGATGGAGAACCGCAGAGCTACTATTTTAACTGATAAGGGTTTGAGTCGAGATCCGACCCGTGAACTCACAGGTGAGACAAGATGGAGTATTGCTTTCCACGGTCTATTTATGTGATAAACTGTGATAAATTTTTTCAACTGCTACAAAAGTATGTGATAATCTCTACTTGCGGAATTCCTTATTTCATATGAAATTATAGTGGTTTACAGTACTTAATTTTATAAACTTGTACACCATTTTGTCATCTCTGCATGTGATGTGTACCCTCTCAGTCGGTAATTCTTCACTGATGCACACACATTTTTTGTGGCATGATTATTATGTTCATTTTATGACACATTATTGATGATAAATCATACAATGATATAGTAATCTTGAAAAATATCGTACTATAGTTAAGGATATGTTAAAATAAAATTCATATTTTATAAACACAGAAATCAGCACCCACAACATTTCAATTTGGGTCATTCATACAAATGTAAGTTACCCACAATCCATACAATCTTTTTATTTTATTTTTTTTTGAAGACTTGTTTTCCAAGCAGTCAAAAAGGTGACTTAACTTATAATAAGATTTCATTGTGACTCAAAATCCTTAAAAAAAAATCAGTTATGTTAGTGGACTGGTGAGGATGTCTTATAAGATATACCACAAAGATGCATTTATTTGAAATATGAAATTTTATTGATTTACCATTAGAAAATCTGGGATGGGGCGAAGAAGAAGAATTTGTACAGAGAACATTTTTGTGAACAAAAATTCCCCAGTGAAAATTACTGTAAAATTACTATACACTGATGTGATGAGGCAAGCAATATATAAAATAAAAAAAATTACCCTGAAAAAAAATTTTGCTCAAAATGCAAGAGGAGGAAAAAAAGTTTTTAATGGTCAACTTCTTACCTTGCATATTTTGTTTCAGGTGCTGCTAAGAAATCTGACAGCTTTGTAGAAGGTGGCCTTCAACCTGGACAACAAGACATGAAGAAATCAACGCTGTTAACTGGAAGAGCCGGCGAGAAAGTGAACAAAGCATTACAAAAAGTGGAAAAGGCTAAACAGAAAAGAGCTGCCAGACAAGCTCTTGTGAGTTGAACAATTTATTTACGGACAAGTTTATGTATATGATATGTATTGTAACTCAATCTACTCATGATGAGACAGTAAAATTGAAGGAGTGATTATTACAAACAGCTTAGGGAGTTTGGGCAGTAAAATTGAAGGAGTGATTATTACAAACAGCTTAGGGAGTTTGGGCAGTGAAATTGAAGGAGTGATTATTACAAACAGCTTAGGGAGTTTGGGCAGTAAAATTGAAGGAGTGATTATTACAAACAGCTTAGGGAGTTTGGGCAGTAAAATTGAAGGAGTGATTATTACAAACAGCTTAGGGAGTTTGGGCAGTAAATCCTTCAGAATTTCAGATATATTGTAGACACTGAGGTGTTCAAAGTCATAAAGTCACAGTAATTTTTTAAACAGGTAGCATGTCGGCTGAGATAGCTCCGCTGTTAGCAATGCACATTTCAATTAAAGAACAGAAGATATCATAAGAAAATGAACAATATGTATAGTATCAAAGCAATCGGACTTCCTGTTTTCAACAAGAATTCGAAAATATCACTTTTTACCAAAAATGACAAAAATATTCATTAAAATTAGAGAATTAAAGATAACATCACAAAATGAACAAATCTAAGAGAAGTCCACATGTAGTACCTATATATGTAGTATCAAAGCAATTGGACTTGCAGTTTTTAACGAGAAGTCGAAAATATCACTTTTTACCAAAAATTACAAAAATATTCACCAAAATTAGAGAATTAAAAATATCATCACACGATGAACAAATCTGAGAGAAATCCACATGTAGTACCTATATATGTATATTTGTCGACAGCGAAGCTAAAAATGCATCCATGACTAAATGAGATTCGTGATTGGCCAACCCCAGTTTAATCTCTACTAGGGATTGAACACTAAAATCAGTGAATGGTGGAGACCGATTCCACTAATAGAGGCTCATTCTCTTATTAAAATGGATGCAACTTTAGTGGAACTTTGATTCACATGTGCTTGTGTTGGTATGTTTGACTACGAGTTAGCGCATTAACTTTTCACTTGACAGATGAGATGACCATACAGTTCTATCACATGATTGCAAACATTGATAGTTTATGTGGCTAAATGCTAAATGTTTGATGAGCTCTTGCACTTGTAGTAAAACATAAAAAAGTCAGGAGAGATATTCATGATAGCTGTTGCCTACCACAAACATGTATTTAAAAAAAATACATTCATTTTGGAATTTATTCTTTACTTTCATGAGAGCAGAATGTTTATTAAACAATAGCAAGGCAGTGTAAATTTTGCGGGATTTGTATCATCAACAAAATATATAGTCCTGAAATTCTGAGAGTTCAACATAATATATTCTTCTTCTTATATTAGTGGGATGCATTGTACACTGGCAAACCGCCGGATGACTACGAAGACCCAGCCGATGTGTCCGCCATCAAAGAAGCCCAAGAGAACATGGGGGATTACAAACTGAAAACCGCTAAGGATTACACCGTACCTGAACAGCTGCGAATGAATGCTGAGAAGAAACGTAACCAACTACTGGTTCTTATAGAAGAGGTAAAATCTTGTTTTTATCTTGCAGCTTATTTTAGTTTGAGCTTAAAAGTTGAAAGCCCCTCAAAGTGAAGCTATTTTCAACCACATTTACATGTATTCAGGAAATATCAGTATAGTTAACCCAGCTCAGTACTGCTTCTAAATGTGTCAGTTCACCATTTTGGAATGGGTTGATCTTAGCTAAAGTTGAGTCGATTACAAGTTTACGTTTTGGTTAATTTAGTATTATATACAGTATTAAAAACAGTTTGAAATGCAAGCATAGCATTCCCTGCAAAAGTTGTTTTCACAATAGAATGGATTTTAATACAATATACAAATTATAATTGTGGTGTGAAACCTATAAACCAGGGTTTGTATGGTTCTGGAAAGTGCAGGGATTCAATTTGTGTCCTGGAAAATCCTGGAAAAAGTCCCTTAAATCCTGGAATTTTATTTCATTTCATGTGTATGAACGAAGTATAACTATATCGATTCTATCACCAGATTTACAGACACAAGAAATCGTTTAATCAGAGATTGATAGCTCTACGTGATAAGAAGATCAACGTGATTGATGAAATCCAACAGTACATCAATGAACTGATGGAGGTGCAGTCAAAGTTGTCTCCCAACCAGAGGAAACATATCCCCAAATGTCCTGAGTTGTATCCGTGTGAGATTCCTGAAAGGTGCCTAAGATATTTTTATTCTCAACTTTGTTAACTACAGAGATTAAGCACAGAATAGGCAATTTTCCGCTCACTGCTGGATCCTGCGTTAAATTGATCATCAAAATAGGAAAAACAAATGTCATTGCGTCTGTGTTGTGTTGACTCAGGAACACACAAAACATCAAAGAAACCAGAGAGTTAAAAAGTTTAAAGCGGGGGAGTCGTCACCTGCGCATACGTCAGATGGCCATAGCATGTCATTGTTCACAAACAAGCGTCTACCCATGAGCCTTTGCGTTTTTAACATGTTGTTATCGTCGTTTGGGACACAATTCCCACGTGTGCGCAGGTGACAACCCTCCCGCTTTAACTTCTTGTTTATTCTGCCATTTTCAGTTACCCCAACAGCTATACTTTTCATCAATACACTTGGGTGATCAGGTGACTTATAACACCATTACAAAAGTATGTATTCTGAAGCATACAATAAAGTAGTCGCAAAAACGTCTCAGCATCGTAGTCACATCAGAACATTTCATTGATTCGACAAACCTTAAAACTATTTTTTTGGGCATTAATAATGTGCTATACACATTTTGCGATAGTCAATTTTGCTGTAGTAACTGTATCTCAATGACATATTGCCTTCAGAAAGCTCAGCATTTCGACATTGAACGAAAAAAAAAAAATCAGGTTCAGAATGAAATAATTTGTTTTTTGCAGCAGACTTGGTTCATGCCTTTTATGCGAAATCTCGCAATGAATCAAAAATCATCTATTGTTTCCAAATCATACTTCACTTCATTAACAGTAATTTAATTATCAAACCTTGAGAGATACAGCACGGAAATACAACTCATAAGCAAGCTACAGTGAGTTGATAAAGAAGTACAATATTATGGTTTACCCTGAAAGATAAGGATTTTTTTCTGGTATATTACACCAAACATATTTCTGACACATTCAAACTATTGTTTTTGTGTATATCTTTTTGTAGACAATTTCAGTACACACGTGATAGTCTAATGAAGTTTAAGGAAGACATGCAACAGCGTATTATTGAGGAACAAGCAAAAGCTGCGGGTGCTAGTGGATTTGGTACTGGATTTGGAAGTGGATTCTCAGCCCCTACACAAGGGGGTCCACCCACAGAGCAGGTCAGTAGACAATAAATAATACTATTTTAGCTGGAATTAATTTCCGCTGAAAAGACTTTTTGGGTGTTTTGTGTGAAATTTATTTCCACTGATTTTTGACGAGTTGAATGTAAAATATAGGAAAAAATGTATATTCACTGGATTTTATTTTCAGTGAATCATCCCTTCAGCGAAAATAGCGAAAATTGCAAGCAAAAATAATTTAAGTATTTTACAGTAGTCAATAAATATAATCTATTATTATACATCTGTCACCGTAACGCCATAGGTTACAGCGTGAAGTATTTTCATCCTACCATATAAGGAAATGCAATTACAAAAACGAACTGATTACGCGCGTAAGCGTCCTCTAATAATAAAAACAAACATGGCTGCCACCAGGGTTTGACCGGACTCCACACAAAGAAGTTCACTGATTCTTATGATGTATCCCTGGAAGGAAAAGATGTATAATAATAAGGTTTTTACGAGAATCCCTTAAATGCACTCAGACTGTATGCCGTCGCATCAACCTCCACTGCGCGTCGGTCGATACTTCCACTGTGCTGTCTTCGTGCATATTTTGAGGTATCCTCGTAATAACCTCATATTATGTTAATGCGGAGATGCTAAGATATACAAAGCACTTTACATGCTATTTGAAATGAAATGAGTGTATGTGCAGTGCCGTTGAGGTCCTATTTTTATAAACCATCAAGTGTATGTGAAATTCTGTTTGACTATGTCAGAAGATTCACATCGCCTACAGCAAATAATAGATTACCGGTATATTAGTGAGTACTGGTAAATGTAGCAACAGTGAAATATGAAGATGTTTTCAAAATTATCATGTGACACAGAAACCCATCACCCATTATTATGTAGCAGTGAGAAAGAGCATATAAGAATGTCATTCATATTGCGAAAATATACCACTCAATTCATGCCATGCTAGAAATGTCATCTTATGTATATTTTTTAGTATTACCGGTACCTATCTGTGTTAAATACTTCACCCATTAACAACTCATAATTACAAATGATCTTCATGAAGACATTTTTAAACTGATTGGTATGTCATTGTATCCACAGAGACCAGACCCTTCTGTTATGTCTGTCTCTCCATCTGTTGACAAGATGAAGACAAACATGTCTGTGGGTTCAACATCCGCTTCCACATCAGAAACCGAAATCGAGTTGTCCCCGCTGGAATTGCAGATGATGAAAGCTGAGGAGATTCGTTTGCTCTACCAACAAAACCGACTCCTTGGCAAAATTGATGAGAAAATCTTGTATTTTGATGCTGAGTTGAGAATTCTCCGACATGTCAAGCATAAGCTAGAGATTGACCTTAAGAATGCTGACTTGAGGTGAGGAAAAAATTTGAGGGTTCATATCTACAAATGCTGTCTTTGAGGCCATATTGCTCATATGGCTGGACTGATCATGTTCAAACATGATTTTTAAAATAATTTCTTGAAAATTAGGAGTAAAACTTTTTTGGTTTTCTTTGTAGACATGTGACCCTGTTTGAAGAGCTACAACTGTTGAAGGAGTTTGAGAAGAGAGAAAATGTGCTTGCTGATAAGGTGGAAGGCAAGAATCGTGAGAAAGGGGACATGCAAATGAAGGTACTTGAAACAGGCTTGATTTGTCTTGTAGTGAAGCAAATAAAAGAAAATATAATAAAAAAATTAGTGTAAAATCAAGGTAATATTTTACCATGCCCATTTATTTGTTCAGTGTTGCATCCCAATCTCATTTCATCTTTGTTAGTTCAGTTATGCTTCACAATTTTTACAAGTGTACAAAGCAATGAAATGTGTAAGATGAAAACAACTAAAAAAGTCTGGTAAATAAATGAAAATACCTCAACTTTTTCACCACCAGACTTTGTCACCCAAATTGTTCTGCACCTTTTTCTTATTCTATTCAATATTTTTGAAAATGAATCCTAATTTTGGAGCCAACAGTCAAAATTTTAGCCAATTTTAAATTTTTACGATGTTGTTCCAATTTGAAAGAAAGTGCAAACTATAAACAGGACTATTTTGTGATCTTGTGATGAAAAGAGGAAACTCATGGTGGTGAAAAATTTAACAAGGTACATAAGTTGTTTGACAATTAAAAAGAGCTGTCTGCAATAGAAAATTATGCTCTATTTGGTATTTCTTGCGTCCGGATTTTGTGCCTATATACAGCACTGCAGATAAACATGTGACCATGGCATCATACTGAAACATTGATTTTTGCATTTTGTGAGGTAACCAATCATTGAATTGTATTGCAGGTAATGGAGTGTCAACAAAAACTGGACAATAAGAAAAAAGACATTGAACGGTTGCAGGAGAAAGAAAAAACATTGTGCACGCAGTTCCAACAATCATTGGGTGAAAACAACAAGTTTGCTGATTTTCTGACCAAGGTGTTTAAAAAGAAGATCAAGAGAGCTAAGAAGAAAGCACAGACAGAAGAAGGCGAGTATTAAATAAATATGTGCATATTAAATGAGCTATTGTTTCTATAATTAAATGCATGTTTTAAAACAAGGGGCAGACCAGTTATACATTACTGTAATATATATTGAAGATTTAGTTTTCAATGTGTTTTTTTAATAACTGATGTTGATTTACTGTTCAGGTTCTGATGAAGAAAGTGAAGAAGAATCTGAAGAAGAATCTGATTGGTCGAGTGAGGATGAGGAGAGTGATAGTGAGGCTCTGGATGACTCAGTCTGCCCTCCAGGATGTGAGCAGGTAAGAAACACAGTTTGTTGAAACAATAGGTGATCTATCTTCCAATTGTCCCTATATGCTAAGGCCATTTTATAAATTTTTAAAATGGGTGCCCTGTCAACTCTGAAAGGTATTTGTAAAGTTGTTAGCCCTGTGTGCTGTGTCTGTCCTCACTGCACATAAAAAATCCTTGTTCTTGGTTGACTGGAATTTCTGTATAAAATGGGCCCTGTGGAAGATTTGGCTAACAGACTACCCTCGATGAATAAAGATCAAGCAAAATCTATTGTAGATAAGATTTGTCAACAAAGTGTGTATGAAAGGCCCCTTGATACTAAGAATTGTAATCAAAAATTACATCAAACATCTTTTTTTTTTTTGCAGGAAATGTTTGACAATGTGTGTGCAATGAGGGAGAAAAGACTGGACATAGAAGAGGCCATGGCAGATGAGAAGAAGTTACACGATAATATGAAGAAAGACTCAGAGACTTTACAAAAAAAAGCCAAGATTATTGACTCTAATCTGAGAACAGCGGAAGCAGATCTTGAAGCTTTCCAGGTATGTAAGATTTATTGTCACACTGTAACACATAAAGTACATTTTGTATAGTGCAAAATCTCTTTCAAAATCAAGTTATCTGTTGTTTAGTTTGATTTGTAGCCCTGGACCCACCATGCTGTAAGAGTAGGCGTTGACTGCTCACTTGAACACTGCTGTGAATCATGTTATGGGAAAAAAAATAGGCACGAAAGGCTGAATACACACAATGCAGATTTCTATTTTTTTTGTATAACAGTGATATTTAGTCCCCGTTCGGACGCAGTCCGAAAACGGGGACTTATGTTTTGCCCTGTGTGCGTCCGTCCGTCCGTGCGTCCGTGATCACCTGTATCTCGAACATGCATGGACCGATTAAGTTCAAACTTCACTCATACATCACACATTATATGGGACATATGCACATGCATTTTTTTTCATGATTCGATTAACGATAGCCGAATAGTGGCCATTTTAAGCCGAAATGCATCAA